TACCTTTTTTGTGTAAAAAAAGTTGGAAAATAAGAATTTGATACCAAAGATGAGATACCTTTAAGTACAAAAAAGTTATGTCGTTTCCAACACCTTCAATCTACGGCAGCTGGCGCCCTCTATGAACTATAACCAAAATGTGAACAAATTTCAATTCCTCTATTCAAAGAACCCCAAACCCCAAAATTTTGTGTAGATATTTGCATTTATTAAGAAATAAATGGAAATAAACTAAAATAACATTTTACATTTAACACCCTGTATCTCTTTAACTATAAACTTTTGGACTAAGGTAAGTTCGGCTATATCGCAATATTTTTGCTTGGGGTATGTACCCATGAATTTTGGCCCATTACCTCGGGACCACCCTGTATATAATTTTTTTTTTTCAAGTTTAAAGACATAAAATTTTGATAGCCGGATGACTTTTCTTTCATTTAAATTTTTGTGAGGTCGATTTGATCAATTACATCAAAAGTTATAACAAATTTAATGTAGCGCGCTCGGGGCTGCGCGCTCTTCGAGAGCTATACTTGGGGGCCGCTCGTCTCATTTTTCGTACGTTAGAAAAAAAATTCTACAGCCTTTAATTCGCATTTTACAAAAAAACTTTATTAACATTTTATATGTAAAATTTCCTATTCTTTAAGGAAAGCTCCATTTTCAATCGAAAGTATTATCTGTGGGATTCGACAGAAACGACTAATGACGTCATCAATTATATTTTCTCCGATTTATTTCTACGTCGATAAGAGATGGCGAAAGTGGTCCGTCGCTAATTCAAGACACTCAGCGTTCTATATTATGGGTTGTTCTAGGTTCTTGTTACTTTTTATATTCGCGCTGTAGAACCCTGTCATTCATCCTCTCGATTATCGATCGCACTAAATGACGTCACGAATTAGCACGGTAGGAGGAACACTCGTTTAAAACATTTTGCGCCCCAAACTTCAATAATTATTTATTAATCGCGCGCGCCATTATTCCATGGCTAGAAATAGGCCTCAATGATTTGGGATCGAGGGGGATTATCCCTCTTTATCCTGCCTCATCTCGTGTAGGCCTGGACAGCCTTCGTAGGTGGGCCCCATCCGTCGTCTACCCCGACCGCAAATGCGGCCGGTGTAGGCGCTTTGTGGGACCTCCTTTTGTCCTGGCTGGGCCCCGCCGGCTAGGGCCCTTTCTTCTGGCGCTCTTCTTGCTTCGCCGGCTCGTCTGTGTAAACCCCGGGGGTAGTGTCATGTTTATGTGTGGTATGGTTGGGTAGGGTAGTGCGGCTATGCAGCCTGGTTTATTAATCAACGACCTCTAAGAGATTTGCAATATTTTTACTGCAAGATTATATAAGGCTATAGATCAGTTTTAGACATTGTAAAAATATATGCAAGTCGCACATTATACAAGGTGTTCCAAAAAAAAAAACGCAGGATTTCATGTGAGAGAAAAAGATTTTATTAATTAAAGAGTTGGCAGTTTTTACATGTTTTTAAACGGTAGACATTGCCATTAAATATGAAAGAGGATGTTTAACTGCGCTTGTACGGTACTTAGACTGGGCGGTATCTGTTTTGGTTTGGGTGAATCCTATATCCACGGAGATTTTTGGCTTTTTGGCTTTCAAATATCACCTAGAAATGAAAATTTTTCTATGCGCATAAAAAAAACGAGGGCTTAACTTTTGGCGGCACAATATGTTAAAAAAAATCGAAAAATGTCATATTTTTCTTCCTACTTAATTATGTATCTTTTCAAGAGTTCAATTTAGGCGAAAATGGAAGAGGAAAAAAGTACTTGTAATTAATTTTTTTTTGCAAAATGTGACTAGTTACAAATCGAGTGAATCATGATTATTATTGTAAACATCGAAAAAATCGCTAAATGTGGGATTAAAAAACAGCACTTTTTAGGGAATTTTTTTGGGATCTTTAAATTGGGTATAGGACCTTCATACTTGGCTCAAGAAAACTTCATGTTATGTAGATTCATCATACCAAATTTCATCAAAATCGGTTCGATAGATTTTGCGTAATAATTTTGCAATTCAAATTTTCAAAAAAAATTTGCAAATTTTCAAAATTTTGCACACCAAAAACCAATACCCTTAGATACTTGAAAATTTAATCACATATAGAGCTTCAAACGCCTTTTGAAAAATTCGAATCCGTCAGTTAGGGGCGCTCTGGCGCTTGTTTAAACATTGGTCGAATTTTTGTACTTTGTTCGATCAATTCAATCGAATCAAATTCTTTAAAGCAGGTTTTAAAAGTTAATGGAAAGACGCTTCTTTAAAAAAAATAGATTGATTGGTCAATTAGTTACGTAGTTATAGCCGATCAAAGTTAACCGTCATTTACACAAAATATACTGGGACATCCGGGCTAATTTTTCGAAAAATACCTTTGGTATTCCGAGTTCTTACCAGGTCTAAGTTTGCAATACTTTTCTTCATTGGCAACCTACTTCAAAACGTGTTTAAAGTTATTTATGCAAGCGAGAAATTCAAGAAAATCGTACGGATGGCGGTGGTGGGGGAAGCAGAGAGCGCGGCCGCTTCGGCGAGTTCAAAACCGCGATGCGCT